ACCCACACCCCACACCCACACCCACACCCACACCCACACCCACACCCTTTGTGTAATTATCAAACTTCCTATCTAAAATACTGTGTCGCTCATTCGAAGTATATTTTTTCTTTTCTCTCTATTTCTAAGTACCGTCTTGTAGCATTTGTTATTTTTGCGCCAAGCAAAATCTGTTTCTACTTGGATTCTTATATGTATTTTCGAGAAAGGACATATCTTTTATTTCTATAATGTGAATAACTAGGACCAGGTTTAGAAATATTGGTAACTTCGAGGAGATTGAATCACATCGATAGACACGTGTTTTTGAAATATTTTTGTTGATGATATTGGACAGTCGTATAAAAGTTGTATTTTCTAAACTAAAGTTTCGAATCCTGTGTTTTTTGCAAGATACTCGTGTAAGTCTTTCAATAATACTGAAATGACGACGCCTGTTTGGTCTAATGAAAACATTTCATAGGATGTTGTTGCATCCGAAATCTGAATTGTTGATCTGAATTCATTATGTTCTCTCTAAAGCTTTGTGATTAAATGTGACCGAAAGAAAAATTGAAATATTTCATACTTTTCATACGAAAAAGTTGTTCGTTCGTCTCAGTGTATTAGCTGTTTATGAATTGTACACAACTCGATGCAAAGTTTGAAACATCATGAGTTGATATAAGCCTATTTCTACAGAATCCTGCATCTTATGAATGAGATCTCTCAAAGTTTTTCAAACTTGGAAGGCAATGAATTTCATACTATAAGATGGAGAAATGTTTTTGAGAACATAAATAATATCTGTTTTTCCTTGGAAAACGTAATGCAATTGAAAAATAACGACAATTCGAGATATTTCTTGTATGCTTGCGCGTAGCAAATTCTTCTGAACACATTGAAACTTTTTCATATTGTTATAAGTTACTGTGGAGCATGTGAATTAACCATGGAATCATTCTTTTCCTAAATGAGCTTTTATTAGTACATTGATAAATGTAGAAAAAAGAACTTTAAATCTTTCAATATCGTTTCAAAGCTCATTCAACATGTGGGCTTTGTGTGAGTGCTGGTGAATGTCTATGAAACTCACGGATACCTCTTATATAGAGCGAAACGACACAATTCACATAGAATAGATATAAGTATCATGCTAGTAGATTATGCGTCAAGATATCGATGGTAGGTGTGAATGAAGAACATTTATATCCACATCCACATTCACACCCACGCTCACATCTACACCAACCACACACTTAAATCACCTTAAGAAGCAACATGGAATTATATATTTTGCAATAAACAACACACATCACTATATATATATGTATTTATATATACAGAGAGACAGAGACAGAAGCCTAAAACGTGAAGAGACGGGACGAAAGAGAGAAGGCATTGAACGAGAGGATATATATATTTATATGATTTAATGAATAAACATGGATCATAATATATCGAGAGGGAAAGGAGAGATATAAATGTAATTCGATACAAGCATAACAATCATGAATAAGAAAAAAACTTCCTTTATAAAATTGTCTTACTTCTAAAAGAAATCTTCATAAAAAATTTGACGTCATATTAAGGTAGCAATATCGTCCTCAAAGTCTGAGTAGGACACTATGGACCTAAAACATTCTCTTTTCCATCACGATGTTCAAAGAAAAGATTCAAAACTATCATTGTTTCTTCGTAATGTACTTGATTTTGTGCGTTTTTCAAAATGTTTGACATAAAATCGAACGATATGTTAGTCGAGCATTTCATCATTTGCATATGCATAGTCTCATACAGGGAATGAACGTGTAGATCAGTATGACCGTCGATACTTTACAGAATTTCTGAAGACACGACAGTTCATTCTAACGTTTTCTCGTTGGAAACATTATAATTGATTTATTTTTCTCTTCTTCTTACAGATTTCGAATAAGTCAACCGTTCCGGACAATGGAAGCAAATTCTGTTCCAAGCAAAAAGCCAGAATACGGTCTCATCATTTTGGGCAATGCTGGAACGGGCAAAAGTTACATTTGCAATATGGTAATTGGCTATGAAAGATTTGAAACTGACTTTCGGCGAGAAGCAGTTACAACTACTCTGGAGTACCATCGAATTGATGCTGGATCAAGCGACCTTCTCATATACAATATTCCAGGATTGATCGAATCACATCAAGAAGAAATCGATCGAAACAAAAGAGAAATCATTAAAGCTTTCGAACAATCTCCCATATCGGTTGTCATATTTGTATGGACACAGGTGGGTGGACGACCGCATCCAGATGATATCATTACCTTCAAGGCTCTCAATGAAGCCTATAACTTTTCGTCCAAATCTTTAATGTTTGTCCTGAACAATATACCGAGCCAGCGATCACCGACATTCGAAGGAAGATTTTTTACTTTACTTACGAAAATGCTCAATCCAATTCCAATTTCATTGGAAGACATGTTTTTTATCGATACTTTGAATTCTGAAGATAATGAGAAGTTTAGTGCAACACGTGATCGACTACTTCATTTCATCGCACAGCATCGTGAAAGCGAGCGAAAAATGAAAGCTAATATTATCATGCAATGCAACGAACTTCGCATCCTAAGAGAAACTCTAAAAAAACAATGTCTGGAAGCTGAAGAAAACAAGCAAGCTCTTGAAATACAAATCAAGCAAATGACAGAGGAATACGAAGTTGTCAGGAAGAGCCAAGAGAAGAGATACCAAGATATGATATTCAAATTACAGTTAGCAGAACAACAAGTAGCAGAAGAAGAAAAAGTTCATGAACTTGCTGGTGTCGAATTGGAAACTCTACATAAAGAAAAGAAAACAGGTCTAAAGGAGCAATGCCAGCAACTTTGGAAAAAAGTTGAAGATGAGAAAGGAATTTTGAAGAAAGTAGAGAAATGCTATAAAATCGCAAGCAACGAGCTGCATATTAAATGCAAAGATGAAGAATATGATAAAGAGAAGAATTTCAAGAGACAGAGCAGCACAATTGAAGACAAGAATGAAAGGAACGAAAAATTCCATGGAGATCAGCTGAATAAGGTTCAGAAGAAGCCCACTAAACTGTACAATAACAATTCTGATTCTAGTCTTCTCCGTCCTGCTGTGATCGGTGGTAGTCTCGGTGCTACTTCCGTTGGTGTTCTGGGTGCTGGTGCCGGTGCTGGTCTCGGTGGTGTTGGTGGTGCTGGTCTCGGTGGTGTTGCTGGTGCTGGTCTTGGTGCTGCTGCTGGTGCTGTTGTTGGTGGTGCTGCTGGTGTTATTTTGGGTCCTTGTGCTATCGCTACTGCTGCTGCTGGTGCTGCTGCTGGTACCGCTGTTGGTGCTGCTGCTGGTACCGCTGTTGGCGCTGTTGCTGGTGCTGTTGCTGGTACTGCTATGGGTGCGGCTGCTGGTGTTACCTTTGGTGGTATTAGTGGTGCCATTGCTACTCTTTATAGGCGTCGTAAGAAGTGAAATCCTACCTAGGGTTACCCAAAAGGAGTGACACAGGTTCTTTTTTCTTCTTATTGCAAGCTTAAAAGAATTTTCTTTTCTATGAATAGAGAGAGCATCTTTTGTTCTATCTTTCCATGGTATTTGATCACGATTAAGCTACAATAATAATAATAAAATTTGAATAAGAACTATTTTTTATTGAACGCCAGTTGGTAATATTTAGATCATTATGAGTGTGGTATAAAGAATGAGACACTTTTCCATTTCATTTTATTATCACTTCATACGTTGTATTAAAAAAAGCAAAATATACCAGAAGATGCAGTGTGAAAAGCCATGCAGTGTAGGAAGTACCGCTTATTTTATAGTTGTACTTTTTGTTTCAAAAATGGACACAACTGTAAGTTACCAAGTTTCGGCATGATGAAAACGAGGCTGTTTTTGGTAAAAAAAAGCGAATTCACTTTTTTTGCAATCTCATCTATTTATAGTAGTTCTTTGTAAATTGTAGAGCTCTTCATGCTCCATGTTGCAGTGTATTTTACTTTTTCAAATTAAACATATCAAGTAATGAACAGATGAGATAGGAAAAATGGAAGTCATCTTTTAGAAAAAAGAATCTTGTTTTCAGAACGTCAAAATTTGACAGCTCAAAGTTTTGTCCATTTTCGAAACAAAAAGCACAACTATAATACAAGCGGTACTTTCTATATTGGAGAGCTTATCATGGTGCATCTTCTGGCATACTGTGTTTTTCAATAAAATATATTATTTGATGATAAAGTGGAAGGCAAAAATACCACATCTATAATGATCTAAATGCTACCAGCTGGTTTTCAACAAAAAGAGTTCTTAAATCAAGTGCTCATCGGATATTGAAAGAAGATCTGAAACTCCATGCCTAAAAGGTGAGAATCGAACCAAGACTTACCGATGAACACAAAAACAAAAGAAAAAAATTCATTAATTAGGTCGTTAAAAATTTTCGAAAAGAGGACATCATGCGCATTTTATTTTCAGATGAAAAATTGTTTGATCTCGACAGTATATTCAATTTCCGAAAGGAACGTATTTGGACCGTTAGTCGAGATGAGGCAGATGAAAAAGGTGGCATCAAAATGAAACAGAAGTTTCCTCAAAAGATCATCGTCTGGCTAGGTGTTTGCTCCAAATGAGTGACATCATTAGTCATTCTCGATCAAGGAACAGTAGATCATGTTGAATATATCCAGAAAGTTCTTCCAATTGCACTTAAATATGGAAATGAGACGCTTGGAGAACATTGGACATTTCAACAGGATGGTGTGAAACCTCATATCCATCACCTAACACAAAAATGGTGTCAGGAGAACTTTCCATCATTCATAGATAAAGATCATTGGCCACCGAATAATTCAGATTTAAATCCATTGGACTACTGTATCTGGAATGAATTTGCGCAGTATGTCAACTGGGAGAAAGTAACATCGAAATCCACACTAATTGATGAATTAAAACGTGCAGTCAAAAAAATTCGGCAAGATGTTGTCTTACAAAATTGTTCATCTTGGGCTGTTCGTTTACAACGTGTTTTAGAAAATGATCGATGTTATTTAAAACAATAAAAAATAAGTAATCTTGTAGAGCTTGAAAAGATCTATCTTTAAAAAAAAAACAGAACCATTAACGAATTAGATTTAGTGGATATATCAGTAAAATACTGAGAGGCCCATTATTCCTGGGGCACCCAATAGAAGAAGATTCTCAGTTTTTATTTATAAAGATAAAGTGTACGAATACTGTTAAAACTTATTACTATTGACTTCAATCCCAAACTGAAGCCTTTTTCCAATATGGCAAAACAACAAACACGATTTTTATTTAGTTATTTTAGGTGTTTTCATTATTCTCAACTTTAAATCATCCCGATATTCGACTTTTGTGGAACTCACGTATATTTTCGAAGAAAATAGTGAGTGT